CACTAATATATACTATATATATATATATATATATATATATATATATGAAGCATTTGCGGTTCCAGTCTATCTCTTTCAGTCGGCATGCAAGTCTTGAAGTGATTACACGGTTTCAAAGATCGTATCTTTCTTATAGTATAGTATATACAGGCAAATTTGCAATAGCTGTAGACACGCACGATCGCAATCATAATCCTCTTTAGTAGAGGAGGGCACGATTTGATTCTGCATCTCACAATTCGTCGTGCAGTAATGAAACTAAAAGCACAGTAGTTCGCCTAATAAAGAGTGTGCACCTATATGAAATTTTTGCGATTTCAATACGTCGATTTTTCAATTCTTCATCGATGCTTAAGCGAACAGTGATGGACGATCTGATTATTAAGAAATCATTGACGTGATGGTTTTTAGAATTATTCGAAAATTTGTCTTGGAAAAAAATTTAATCGTCGAATTGTTTAATCTTCAGATTGAAGTATATCCATCACATTTACGTATAATCGCTTAGCATGAATTTTCAATTCTCAAATTCGTGGTATGATGTTTTTATTGTTGTGAATATGAAATTTTGTTTGATGAATCATAGCCGAATCAACATCATACGGTGATCATCGAGGAATTTGAACCTGATGTGTTTCGCCAGCTGATCGAATACATTCATACCGGATGTGTGACATTGCAGCCTAGAACATTATTGGGTATGTACTTTAACAAAAAAAAAAAAAAAAGAAAGTTTCAATCTCTTTTCTTTGATATAATTTAATTATTAATAAATATTGCCTTAATTATAATCAATAATTTCTTTCCATTTTAAAGGATTGATGAACGCAGCTGATTATTACGGATTAGAACAACTGAGGAAAGCTTGCACCGGATTTGTGCAATGTTGTATAACAGTGGACACGGTGTGCGCTTTATTGGCGTCAGCTGAACGATACATTCAGTACAAATGTACAAAATCCTTGGTTCATAAGGTGAGATCGCAAAAAATTTTGGAAACTTTTCTTTTACTTCTTCAACTAAAAAGAAAGTAATAAATTAATTTAAGGAATGTCAAATATCAGAAATATATTTTATTTACAGGTATTTGAATTCGTAGACGAACATGGCAACGAAGTGTTGAATTTAGGCTCGTTCACCCTTCTCCCTCAACATGTAGTTCGTTTAATCCTCGCTAGAGAAGAGTTGCGTGCCGATGAATTTACCAAATTCCAAGTAAATGTTATTCAATATTATTAAAATCGTTACAATTATGAAAGATTCGATTGTTATTAAAAGTTTGTGAAAAATTACTTATCAGGCGGCCTTGATGTGGAGCAAGAAATATTGCGACAGCAATCAGAATCAAGATCTGAAGGACGTGATAGGCAATTTTCTGGAGTACATTCAATTCCACAAGATTCCTGCAAACGTGCTTATGAGGGAAGTTCACCCTCTGGGCCTGGTACCTTCGGGGATCATAGTGAACGCGTTGGCCTATCAGGTGCGTGTTGTTTCAGAATAACAATGGAATTAAATACTAACACATTCTCACTTCTCGCTCTCTTTTTCTTCTAATCAAAATTCCAACTATTCAGAGTAGAAGCCTAGATATTCTATAATTTTTACCTAATACGAAGTCATTTGTGCCTTTCATTAGGAATGTCGCAGACAGAACTAGTTGCAAAATTATTATTAAAAAAAATATATAATATCATTATTAGTATTTAACAAGATTACACTGTTACAAGCAGCACTTTTGATGTACTAGTCGCAAAATTATTATTACATTTAAAAGAAAATGTATAATATCATTATTAGTCTGATATTTGACAAGATTACACTGTTACAAGCAGCACTTTTAGTGTAGAGGATTATAGTTTGCGAATTTCTAGCGAAATGAGAAAAAAAAAATGTACATTCTCCACGAAGGTAACAGTAGTATGCTCTCAGTTCAAAGTTATTTCGTTCGATATATAACGTTTCGTTATATATCCCTAGAAAGCTAACCCAAGAACGACGAGAAATTATGGTCGGGAATAATTCAAGTATGAATATGCATTTATGATTCTTCTTGTCCCCTTTGATATATATATATATGTATATATACACACATATATACCTGTTGTGTCTCTTGTCGAAGCATGCGAAAAAGAGTGCAAATTATTTAAAAATTTGATTGAAAAATTCATTATGTATATATATATGCGATATAATGTGTAATAATTGAGAAATTTTTTTTTTTTGAATGTTTGGAAATTTCTTCTTTAATTTATCTAAAAAATTAAATGTTAATTCGTGTACTTTTTATTTAGAAATTTTATTTTTATCCTTGGATAAAAATATATTATTTTATTTTTGTCATTTATCAATAATTAATATCTTATTATTATTTTATTTAACATTTAATATTAATCATTAATATATATTTTTTTTTTTACTGTTTAACGATATATCACATTGATGTACTGTTTACATTGTTCAGAATAATATTGTGAAATAGTTAGAAAATTATTCACTTGACGTGTCCTTCATAAATTTAATAATCTTGAATATATTAATCATTGTGGACAGTGTAAGAGTGTATCACTCTTTGTTCTTGATCCTTGCCATATTCACATCTCTAATATATATATATATTATTAATTATATGTATCATTTTATATTTTATATTTTACACACATATGTTGAAAGGAAAATTTTTTCCCTTGCTGCACACGTAGTATTTATTCGATTAGCTCTTGTTAGTTCCTTTTAAAATAAATAAATGTTTCCTGAGCTCATTCTTTAAAAATAAACACCCCTTTCCTATTAAATTTATTACGATATACTTTAACAGATAAATAACCACAATATACTTTTCTCACTCTCCACAATCACAATTCAATATACCAATATAAAAACTTACACCACCCTTTCGATACGGAGAACAACGATATATATCATCCATATAGTTGAGAAGAATATACTTAAAACAGTATTCTTCTAAAAATCGAAAGAATACCGGTTTAAACTTGTTTACCAAGTTACAAGGTTTGCATTGGACGAAGACACAGCTTCGAGCCTCGACCGCAAGATGGCGCCGCGACACGCGTCCCCATAACGAAAGGGTTGCTTCAACTCATACATTTCGAAACACCGCCCTCGAATCACAACCGCAACAACTACGTAGACACGATTCCCCCTCTCATCCACCCTTTCTTCGCCCCATCCCGAAAGCCTCTTAACCAGAGAGTTTGTTGCAGGCAGACCCGACCAGTGTCGACCCCGGAAAGCTCTCCCCCCACAAAGTGAAGCACCAGGACCGTAGTCTGTCGGTGCAATCCTCGTTGCAGGACCAATTCGGGAGCAACACGTCACTGAGCTCGACCGGGTCATACGAGGGGTCCGACGAGAAACAGCATTCAGGTAGCAACTAACCTCCGGCCACGGCCGCACTGATCGCGGCCGTATCGGACGAGCCTCGATGCGAGGAAATTTCTATTAACGATGCGGTCTCGCACCCGCTTGAAGGTAAATACGGCATAGCGGAGCAGGAAATACGGGAGAAGGAACAGTGGCAGAAGCACAGGCAGGAAGAGGAGGATCTGCAACGGCTGATCGAGCAGAGGAGTCAGTATCAATCGATGAGGCAGGACGAGGTGCAACGGCAGCACGACGAACAGCTGATCAGAAGGCAGGAGGAGGAGTTGAGGAGGCAGGAGATGCAGGAGGAGTTCGAGAGGAGGCAGAAGAGTATGAAGAAGAAGAAGCAGGAGGAGGAGTTGAAGAGGAAGAGGGCGGAGGAGGAATTGAAGAGGCAGAGGGAGGAAGAGGAGCAGAGGAAGAAGCAAGAGGAGGAGTCGAAGAGGCAGAGGGAAGAGGAGGAGAAACGGAGGAAGCGGAGGGAGGAGGAAGAAGAGGAGAAAGGAGAAGGAGGGAAGAAGGTGGAAGATGTGGCGAAGCTGGAGGACGAGAAGAAGAAGAAACGATTGGAAGTGGAATTGAGGGACGAGGAGGAAAAGAAGAATTTGGAGAAACATCGAAAGGAGAAGGATCTGGGGAAGGCAGATCACGAGGAAATTCCACAGAAGAGATTGAAAAGTGAAGAAGATGAGAGACGTCAGGAATTGGAGCAGCGATTAGTAACGGCGATCAAAGATCAGGATCGAGAAGAATCAATTGTACCAAAAGAAGAGGAGAAATTAGGTGGGCAGCTGGAGGAAGAAAGACGAAAGCAGGAAGAGTTGTTGAAACAGCAAAAGGAAGAGGAGCAACGAAGAATTCGCGAAGAAAAGAAGATGCAATTACAGCTGGAGGAATTGAAAGCTCATTGGACGTCGCAGCAGGAAGTAATGTTGAGAATGCAGGAGGAAGCGTTGCAACGACAGATAGAGGAAAGAAGATACGAGGATCAATGGGAGAGCAGACAATTCCAGCAATTGCAATTGCACATAGAGGGTCGAAAACCTGAGGCAGAGAAGAAGTTGGAGCAAAGACAGACATCGGAACGAAAAAGAGGGAGAAAGAGGAAGGAGGGAAGAGTGGAGATTAGGGTGCACGAAGTTGAATCGCCGAAGCGTGAACAGCAACTTGCAGATGGCGTTACTGGTTTCTACATAAAGATAGTCGTGAGACAGGAAGGCAGAGCCAATTTAGTTTGGTTGTTCAAAACGCACAAATTTTGAATGATTCTCGTTTCTCAACTTCTTTTCTCGGTTTGCCACTGCAATTAAAGTTTATAATTGATTGATTCTTTTTCGAGGAAGAAGAAGATTATTCCAAGGTATGACTATCATTCTTCGTATCGTTTAAATTTTCATCTCACAAAGAAATTTTCACTTTACGTGTAACGAACCGTTGTTTTTCTTTTTTCTTTCCTCTCTTTTTTTTTTAAAAAAACATCAATATAATTTTTTATCGTTGTATTATACACAGATTACATTTAAGATAAGTGTAAAGAGATGTTCACTCATGATGGTTGTTAAATCCAGACCGAATGTCTGTACGTAGATAAGGTACGTGCTCATTGTTGAAGTGATTTAATAGAATACAGTTAAATCTTACTGCGATATATCATTATTTTAAGGGTATATTTATAATTTGTACAGTCTGTGAGGTCTCTAAATTCAACCGGAGAATTATGAGTTCCGCTGCTCAAAAAGAAATTGTCAGAAAATTATGCGCTCGAACCTATTTACTTCTAATGAAATTTCCATTGTTAAAGTATCATTTACGATTCGAACGATTGATTTATCCTAGGGAATTATCCGGGAAACTGATTCAAAATAATTCTCCGATTGCTTCGAGCGGTGTACCAACATGAAACGTAACTGTTATCGACACCGATTTTACGAGTGTTAATTTTACAACTGACACATTAACGACTACTTATATACAATAATTTACATACGCTGCCTGTCTCTGAATTCCCCGGCCACTTCTTCAATCTAATCATTATCAATTACGCGGTGTCACGCCACTAATGAAAGAACACGACTTTCGTCGACATCAATCAAACTTTCCTGTGAATCAAGTAATTTCATAATAACTTATTATTGCTCTTAGCCTCGAATTTTTTTTATTCTTATAACAGCTGTTATTATGATAGACTGTCTGAGATATATTTTACGCCAAGCATCTCGAACATCCATTTTCGATCATTCGAAAAAAAAAAAAATCTGTTTTTCTATTTTCCGTTCGCAAAATTGGACTATCTAACGTAATCATTTCTCAATTATTTTTATGATTAGCGAATCGATAACAATTCTTTTTTCTATCATATATGATTTTTTAAAGAAGATTCAGAATTAATTTTGAAGATGCGTGTCTTTGCTTTGAGTAAGATCATCTTCGTTTTATTAGTGATGGATAATAATTATTGGAGTATACGTAAAAAAAAAAGATGTAAATAATATTAAAAATTTACTGTACAATAAAAATTACGAAAAATTACCCTTCGTTATCGTATTATTTGTGACAAGAAAATTTTTATCAATCCACATATAGCGGAAATAAATTAAAATATTCGTGTTACATGGTCCATTCTATAGTATAGCAAGTGTTACGATAAAAATTGTCGAAAACGTCACAATAAAAATTATCGATCGTTAAGAATTAAAAAGAAAAAAAAGATTTTATCAAAAGAATATTGAAAGATTTTTTTTCAATCGTGTATGCATACGTGAATCAATTTATTTGTAAAAGAAGAAAGAGCAACAGTAAGAAGAAAATAACGTTATTGTTGAACAATTTTATTATATCCATCGAAGGAACTGGAAATATTGAAAATATATTACATATTATATATACGTACAATAATATAATATAAATATATAACGATACATTGTATCAAAGGAAAAATATCGTTTTCGAGAGGCAAGGTGTTCGAGAGCTGTGGTCGATGATTTGACAATGACAAACGATTCTATGAAAAATATCATATCTCCGTGGAATTGCTATTCCAATTTTATTTCCATGCTTCAGGTTTTCGAAAATCAGCACTTTTTAAAATGAAAACTCGACAAGAGTTATATTTCGTACAAAATTCAATTTATAGATTTGTAAACTCATATTTTATTTATTAAATCTATTGAAAATTTCTCTATTATTGAATCTTAATAATATTATTATATTAATGTAAATGTTATTCGAAAATTTACTTTTTACTTGTTTCCTTTTTTCACACGATTGAAATTCGCAAGATTTGATGTTGATAATTTTGAGGTTATATTATTACTTTTCGTCACGATTACGATTGATAATATCGTTGTTAAAGCATGAATAATTCTACACGACTGTGAAGCTCTTTAATCGCGCTAGTGACTCCACTTGCATTCTTGCAACGAAAATGTGTTTATGAAACTGTGAATATATATAAAAATAATAATTAAGTAACGTTTATCATGCAGCGGGAGGAAAAGTGTTCTCGATAATAATTTCGAAATTATTTCTTTTATTTAACTCTCACTTAACATTCTCTTATATTTCGTTCATTATATTTGTAAACAATTATATATTTTCTTTTAAAGAAATTATAACGATATTTTTTTATATATTTAAAATATACATACATATAATTTTCATACGACACATAATAATAATAGTAAATAAACTAATGAAATAATCACACGAAATAATTAACGTTATATTTTCATTTTCGTCACGAATATCAAAGAAATCATTTTCTATACGAAAATATCTCGATTTCCAACTAAAAAGAAAAATATATACACGTATATATTCTAAATTACACTTTCATACACTTTTTTCTAAAAATACGTATACAATTTATCAGAGAGAAAGAGAGAGAGAGAAAGAGAGGGAGAGAGAGAGAAAATTATTCAATTTCTTCCTGTTAACATTCTTCTTCCTAACTGCCGCGTTTAAGCTAATTATTTAAGAAAAAAAAAGAAGAGAGAGAGAGACGAAGCAGAGTATCTATTGAACGTTGTTGATGTAATACTCAGCATTGGTACAAAGCAGAACGACGACTCATTGATTCGCCGAACGCTGTGTCCACGGTTCACGCGAGAAAGAAAATTGTACAAAGCGGAATAATTTAACTGTTGGCGTAATTTTATTCATGTTGAGCGAACGTGTCTTTGCGAAATTGTTTCGAAGAAAAACGAGTTAGTTGCTACCGATTCGCAAAACGATGCGCAATCCTCGTGTGTTGAGTCAAAACGATGTATCTATGTAAATTATTATGTGGCGATCATTGTGCGATTCGTGTTTTATGTATAATCAAAACTATTTCTTCGAATGGAAATTATGTATGTACGTTGAAAATATAATATATTATTTAATTCATCTGTTAAGTTTAATCAATTGACGTGTCGATTAAGCTTTTTCTCCACGAAGTTTTTAGGTTTAATCGGCGAAAAGCAAATCTTTATTTCAATAAGACCTGAAGAAATCTTTACAACTATGATACTTTTATTCTTTTATACACGTTTTAGAACTCGTGTCTCGATATAAGAAGAACATATGACATGTTATAATAATTGTTTATAGAAGAGGAACAAATTTAGGGGAAAGTAGAAGAAAAATAATTCTGCATCGATTTCGTCGTTCTCCTTTCGTACTGTCGACAATACTTTAATCGTATGGTATACATACATCTTCTATCTCAGGCTAAATGTAAAATGATATATAGTATATAGTATATAGGATTATATATGATAAAAATTATAGAAGATCGTAATCTATGAGTGTATTGCTTTTCTGTTTCACCCGTGAATTGTAAAGATATTTAAAAATATGTTATATAAAATATAGTATCACTAATTATAATTTATATAATTCTTCTTGGAGAAAGGAATTAAAATTATTCAAAATTAATTTGCAAATGATTGACGTAATTGATGGAATATTTACAAAATAATGTACATCAACGTAATTTATTGAAAAAACTATGTTCGAGATTGATTCCGCTGTTAAGATTAATTACGTGATTTTTATAATCTATCTATTTTCTGTTTTTTTTTTTTCTCTCTTTATAAAAACTTATACAGCCTTTCAATGAGTTTCAAAATGGACGTCACACCCTTCTCGAGTGCAAATATTAATTAACTTATCATTCTGCAATTTTCTTCATAAAAATTCAAAAATATCACTTAACAATTATAAAAATTGCCAATACGAAAAGAATTTTTAAAAAAACTTTTTAAATTACAAAGCTGAGATAACAAATTTAAAAAAGAAACTGATAACGAACGAAAGATGGACATATATAAAATATCACTTCACATCCCTTGCATAAAATTTTATCTTCCGTTACTGAATACAAATTGAAAATTGTTCGAGACGAAACTTTCGCAAACTTCTCAATGATATTTCAATCTCGAACAAGTATGGAACAAATTGCACGTTGATAATCGAGTAAAAAAAAGGAGAACAACGGAACCATGCATTAAATCGCGCCAGAGAACCAGACTCACTGGAAAATAATATTTTATTATCGTCGCGTTGTAATAAACGGGGCTCAGTTGCATAAGTGTCAAGAGTATATTTATGAATGCGGCGTAGCCCACTTAAATCTGTGTATCGTTGTCTGTCCGTGCGCATCGTTACTTCTGCTGTTTTGTACTTAAGGTATATGTAAAAAAAAAAAGAAAAAGAAAAAAAAGATTAATGATATGTCTGTTGAACACGGCGTCAACTCGTTGCCATCGATCCCTATTTTTCGTGAAATTCGACCGATCGAATCGAAACTGTCGTTTATTTTATACATCTCTTATTTGTGAATCTGGACAAATTTTAATCGAGTCAATTTCTTTCGAAGAATTCCTCTTCCAAAGTAAATTCAATTCTTCCACGATCGATTGTAATTACATTTTGTATTAAATATTGATTTCAAGTTTAAAAATGTGTAAAAGATCAAAAACGACTCGATTCGATCGACGGAAGAGAGTTTCACGCATATACATACACATACACTATATGATCGATACAATTCTTCTCTAAAGTTCGATCTCTATCATGTTGTGATATTCTGTAGCCAAATGAGTTCAAAATAAAGGGAGAAGAGCGTGATGTCAAGAAATCACGAATCGTGAAATCTATCCCTAAATATCCTTCCTAAGTTAGAAAAATTTCTCTGCCAAATGTTTATCGATTGTCAACTCCATAATAATCATAAATTAAACGCTCCTCTGCTATTATCCCTTGCATTTAAAGCGTAATAATATTTATATTCTCCATTCTCTGACAGAATTTCAACGGATAGATAGAAGGTGAAAGATCAAGCAGAAGCACCTTTCGACTCTGAAAACCACTTCCTCGAGAGATTATGTTTGAACGGGGTAGGTTGTTGAAGGCAACATATGGCAAGCGGTACCGCGAGAATAATTATATTTTCGACGTATTGATGATTGTTTCACGCAATCGATCGGCCGGAATTTGAGCGATCTATCGCGTAATCCTTCATTGATTCTTGATATCGACGTTAATGATCCATTTAAGGTATATTTATCCGTGATAATGAACGAATCCAGTTTGCCGTATTAGAAGTAAATCTGCAATGGAACGAGCATGAGTAGGAAGGCAAGTGAAGCGGTAAAATATGTTATTATATCGTAAATATATATTTAGTTACTTTATGTTAAAAGTAGCTGTACTACGTTCGAAAGGCTTGACAGCAATTTTACACTCGAGTCGAATACGAGCAATTTTCTAGCCGGATTTATCGCGACAACGAGATTTATCGCAAATAGTTACAGTACTGTATAATTGAAGTGGATAAATGTAAAATATTTTCTAGGTAATGGTAACTGTGTGTAATGACAGGGTTTCGAATAAATATGTAACTATGTTGTAAATATTAGAGGCGTCTAATACATATTCATGAACTGAAGGCCAGAGGGAATGGGAATTGTTCGATTTTTTATTTTTCAAGATTATGCAATGCAGAAATTTGAATGTAGATAAAGGCAATTACTTTTTCTTCGTATATTTTTAATGTTAAAGGCATTGTGCAACTTTAGAATATGTATATATATATATATATAGAGTGTTTTAAATTAGATTTAATATCTCGTTTAATTTTGCATGTTTTTATAAGATCACAAGATTTAAATGGATACATTGAGATGGCCATATTTATATTCTCGATAAAAAATATAAAAATTTCGAGTACTTGGATCGAATAGAAAGTTGCTCTTGCGTCAACAAAATTTAGATTTTAATACAGTTTATCTAGGATTTGAAATACTAGATAAAATACGTGGATACGAATAAATTATATACGCAGTGATTCTAATTAAATTCCAAAATGTAATTTTCATATAGAAAAATTCAACTTGATTTAACCTTACCTGATAAATCGTAGAAATAAGATGAGATAATTACGTTTTACAAATTAATTATCAAGTGGATTGTTATTCCTAACATGGAAGGAACAACGCAGTTCTTCGAAACGATGTTATATTGATATTAGATAAATATGCGATAAACAATGTTTCTTTTATCTTGGGTAAACATATTAATGAAATTAAATATAATTAATCTTAGATAAATATATTAATTAATAAAAACAAATAAATGTAATACGTTTCCTCTCGCGTATTTTATTTTATATTTTTGAATTTTTTCCTTACATAAAAAAAAATCCAAAATATTTTC